CGATCACATTACGCAGTCGCGCTTTCCCGTCGCAGTGGGATGTAGGACGAGTTCAAACAAAGGATGTAGGACGAAGTGTTTAAAGCATTACTTAGTAGTCAGGATTCGTAATGGTTGAGTTGGTGAACTTTGGAAGCTTTTTGCGTCTTAGACAGCGACCTTTCAATCTGAAACGCTCAACTTCTTTTAGTTTTGCGGATTAGATTGTACAAGCAAGGCTGTGCCATCATCGATGTGGACGGATGCCTAGGCCCGACTCTTGGCCAAGGCATTTCAGGAGGTTCTGTGACGACGTGACGGTGTCGTAAAGACGCCTAGCAGGGGTGGGGCGTTGGGGCGGCTCCCACAGCCCTCGTCGCTCACACTCTAAACAGCTGAACCCCAGATGCCCCCTAAGTCCAGAATCTCAGAAGCCCGAGAGACTCAGGAGACACATGGTCGAGATGGGCGTCAGCCTGGCCAGAGACAAGCTGGATGTCTTTAAACCCCGCTCGGCTGAAGAGGTTGTGAGCATGATCCAGGAGCCGTGGTTGTAAGCTTAAGGTTTAAGCTTCAGGTGGAGGATCGCCTCGGTCCTGGTAGAACCAATTGACCGGTCTAAGGCTAATTCAGGAGCCGCTGGTTCGGTTGTTCGTTCATGGCTTTCCGTTTAATCAAATTTGAAGGCTTCGGGGGAGCCATTAAGCCTAAGCCCGAAGAGCTAAACCTCTAACCCTCCCTGGCTTTTGAGCCTTTCGGGTGCTTGCACATTAGAAAAACGGGAGTTCAACCAAAAACAAACCCTACACCCCAAGCGAGGTAAGCGGCAAAAAAGCAGCATACATAAGCCTTAACACAAGAGTCCTTAGCCTTCAGCCCCCAGGATCTGACCAAGTCCAGATTCTTTGACCTTATTGTGTTGGATTCCTTGGCGTCTATGACCTGTGAAAGAGAGCTACGCTCTGACCTCAAGGACAGGGCTGGGATTTTTCAGTTTTTTCTTAGATCCGGGGCTTATGGGGTTCACAGGCATTTAATAGGGCTGTAAGGGCTTCAGTTGTTGTGTTTGGGGGCATGTGCGGTTTTCTGGGTGCAGGGGTTTGGTGTCGAGTGCCAGTGCTATTCTAACGGGTGTTTCTACTCATGGTGGCTGAAGCAAGCACAGTAGAGAAGCCACAGCAAGACTGGAAGGACGGAGATAATTTCGGTGCGAGTGACCTCACAAAGATTCTCTCCAAGTTCTTCCGACAGGACTCCATCAGACCAAAGCTTCTCACGGGCATGTTGTGCGGTCTTTGCGTTTGGGCTTCAGGGTCGTTCAGGGCACCAAGCGGTTTCCGTGCTTGAAGGGCTCTCAGTTTGGGGCTTTAGGATTGGGGTGTTTAGGTTCTGGCGCGCTGAGGGGAATTGAAAGGTTGAGGGTGCAGGGTGGTATAGGGCCAGGGTTTAGATCCACGCCCATTCGCGTCTGGTCCCTGTTGGCCCCAAGCCCCTTAAAGGCTAAAGTGTGAAAAAGCAGAAACTGCGGTAACCAGCAGCGATCTTGCCATGCCCGGTGGCTGTTCAGATGGAAGACTGTTGTCATCGCCTAAATTTCTTCGAAGCACCATGAAATAATCTACATCAACTCTTTTTCCCCGTCAGCTATGCTCTTAGATGGTGACTCTGACTATCGGAAAAAACGGCGTCCTAAAGGCTAAACTGCCCTTGATGAACACATCCCGCACTACCTCGAGAAGTATACCAGACGGTGGGAGTAAGGTGCATTCCTTCTTGGGGAAACCCTAAGCCTAAACTTCCCTAAAGAGAAGATCTCGTTCAGGTGGCCCCCATGCTGAGGCAGTGCCGCACGACCCTCCTTTGCCCCTTAGACCGGTCCTGATTTTGAGCTTAGGGCCCTTTAGGTTCAGGGTTTATGATTCGGGTCCAGCGTTTTGGATTCAGGGTCAAGGGGTGGTGCATTCGTGGTCCTTGGGCATTTTCGGCCCTGGCCACCTGTAGCCAGACCCGAAACACTAAACCCTCCCAAGACCCTGCATCCAAAACAAGCCTAAACGGTTTTGGAAAGGCTCCTGGGAAACGTTTGGACACCAGGGTGTGAAGTGATGTGACTGATGGTGTCGTCCCCTAGAACTTGAACCCGTAAGTATTGCGATAAACAGGAACCCAAAACCTGGCACCGTCAAACCTTCAACTGTAAAGCCCTAAACTCGAAATGCTGGACCTTAAACCTTCAATATCAAAGCCTGAACCCTAAACCGCAAACCATGCCAAAACCCTAGGGCCCAAAACTCAAACGTAGGTTCGAACTAGCCAGGCGGGAGGCAAAAACAAAAACTCACACCGGACACCCCTAAGCCGTTAAGCCCTGAACCTTCGACCTTACAGCCTATCGTCGCGCCCTCTCTGTCTTAAGCATCAGCTCGGAAACTCTTGGGTACGGGATGCTTCGACGTGAAAAATTGGAAATCAACAGGGAAGGAGAGTTTATGGTTCAGGGTAGTTTGAATCTTCAGAAGTTGCGGCTTCGGGAACGGGTTAAGGGTCAGGGAGGTGCAACGGGGTTAGAGAGCGGTGCATCGAAGTTTCCGCCAATTACAGTTCCCTTTCCTGAGAATACCTAGAAGATTGACCTTGCCGCTGAGGCTTTATACTGCAGGCCCTCTTCTAAGCAGCCGATTACCAATAAAACGGAGAAACTAAGCAGTGGGTATTTGCATCGAGAGTTAGTAAGAAAGACGCAGGGACCAGACTTAGAGCAACCACACCTCTAATGCAGGTGAACGGCTGTGGCCAGGCGACATGCGATGTCTACACATGCAATTCAGAGTGTTGTTAAGGATGGCGGTGCGCACTCAAAAAGCCTAGATACAAGCAGTGGTGCGAACTGCTCGGCAAAATATACCGGTCACCAAGTACAGTGTTGCAGTTACAACACTAGAAGCCTCACAGTGTGCACAGACGAAGTACGGATTTTTCATAGAGGTGGTAGTAAGAGCACCAGTGATCGGAGGCCATTGCATCGCACATCTGGTGGGAGCAATCATTGTCTTCATAGCGGCAGTAGCGACGATAGCAATGCCAGCACCAAGAGGAATAGCAGTAACGATAGTGAGGAAGGGCAGAAAAACCAGTGGTCATGTTAACCACACGCAGCAGACCCAGCAGCAGTAGAAGAGCAGTACGAGCAATAGTCACGTCATTCGTATATGTCTCTGAGAGCCTCCAGAACCACATCAGTCTCAACAATGGCAGCAAGTAGCTGCAGCAGAGGCAAGGCTCCTCATAGCTGGACCTGCTCGCCGCATGCTGCAGACCCGGGGCCCTATCGAACCCTAAACCTGAAATCCCAAGAGTCTATACTATAAAGACCAAAACACAGCCGGGTAGAAAGGCTTGAGCCCTAAAGTTCGAAACGCTCGAGGCCTTGATGAGGTTGATGGGCTGCAGCTTCCATGTATACCTCAAGTTGAAGCCTCACGTCCAAAGATCCGAGCAGTAAAGCTCCAAAGACGTGACCGCCCTAAACCCCAAAATTGGTCCAAGGTTTAGGATTACGGGTTTATGATCTAGACACCACAGATTCTAACCAACGCCCAAGGTACCAACCAGTTCCGAGGGGGATCCTTGTTGTTCGGCCCGGTGGAGGTAGTGCAGCGTTGAGCTTTGCTTGGATAGTCCAGAAGGTTTATATAGGGGTTTTAGGGTTTAGGGGTTTAGGGCACTCGTAGGGGGGTTTGGTAAAGTTTAGGTTTAAGATTCACTTCAAGGGTCAGGGCACCTGATCAGGCAAAGTTTGTGAGTAGAGTTATGTTGGATTTCTTTATAAACTTCTGCAGGATTTTCCCAGGGGTTTCCATCCGGTTTTGCAGAGGTTCTTGGGTAGCCGTGAGGTTAGAGTGTGGGCTTGGGGTCAGAAGTAACTACAGCTGTTGTTGTATTACTTAATCGCCTTATGAACTTACGAGTGTTGGTGTGTCACGATTCAGGATAAACGAGTTAAGTTTCGGTGCCTTGGAGTTTGCGGGGTGTGTGGTTTCGGAGCTACAGGATCTGGCCTTTCAGATTTTGAACCCCATTCCCACTGTCGCGGATTGAGCGTTCCTTTTGGCTTCAAATCGGCTTCGTTATGGAGTTCGGCATTATCGAACGGATTTTCCTGTAAGCAGTGGGGTGCAGGATCTTGGGGTTGAGGATTTCGAGTTCGGAGTTTAGGCTTTGGGGCTACGGTTTCCAGGACAGTAGAAGGGCGGGTTATGAAGTTTCAGGCTTGAGGCTTTGTTGGGGTTGGAGCAAGTGTGGTGAGACCGCGGGACATGTAAAGATGTTCCCCTTTATATTGCGAAGCTGCCGATGTGCCTGGGGGTTTTTTAGGGATTCCCATTCAACATTTCAGTGTTGTAGAATTTGTGGTTTTGGGGAGCTTTACATGATTGGGCTTGAGGCTTTGCGGTTGGTGATGCACATTCGTGATTCCTTGGGAGCAAGAGGGCTGCTCCTGGGCGCTCTTTCACTGCTTGGGACCTATGCTAGCATAATTTCTTGTTTGTAAAAAAAGCCTAACCTCTAAAGCAACTCTCGACTGTACCCGGCAATGCGGGCTCGTCCTAGCAAGGTGGGAGGCAAAAAAACAACCCGTGCAGTGCGACCGAGTCAGCGAAGCGGGTGGGAACAAAAACCCGAAACCTCGAACGACTCCCCAGCGGCTACATGCAGGTGCCCTTCGGTGGCCAGGCCCTAGGGAGGCGGTCATCCATCCGCCTGTGCCTGGGCGCATGTTCTGTCATTTGATTCCATAGGCTCTTGTTTGGGTGTTACAGGGGTTTCGTACTCTTCTGTAGGACGGGTTTCGGCATTTCTTTCCTAGAGGAATCCACGGCGACTCTTACGATGTCTATGAAGCTTATTGCTTTAGTTGCGTACTTCTACCACTGATCTGAAGAAGACTAGAAGCACTAGTGCATGTGCGACTGAGAACAGGCGAGTACTAGTTGCACGGGTGGCAGCAGAAGTGCTTCGTCGGCCGGAAATAGCAGCTGCAGAGTAGCTGAGTTTGAAGAAAGAGTGCTGCACAGCCAGAGGAGATTCCAGCTCGAATCGCTAACAGGCAATGGGCCACAAGGTTGCAGCAGCAATTCGAGTTGCTTTGACAAGGAAGTGATCTAAATGGAAGCATGTCATACTCGCTTCCCGTCAGGCGCACCATCGAGCCACAGATTCGGGAAATTGCCGGACGTGCACCCAGCCTCCAGTGTCAGGCACTTCGGCTGAGAACCTGCGATGTGTTCCCGAGTTGTCGAGACCTTCTTATGGTGCTTTTCGCGAATCCCGAATGCACTGCGCCTCAGCTGCCTCGCCTGGACGGTCTCCGAGAGTTGAAAGCGCACCAGGTGGAGATCATCAAGTTCGATGTGCCCGACCAAAGGCAGACGGCCACCAGCGTGGAGTTCGGGTTGGTCTTTGGCGAAGGCGCCCTGCTGGATCTGCTTGCTGGTTGGTGTGATGGCGGCAGTGAGTTTGTTCTTACTGGTCATGCTTTTGCTTCAGGAGTTGAAAATTCCCGAGCATCAGACCGCTGCAGCATGCTCTTTTCGTTGTTTGCTAGGTTTCGGTGAGACATGCCCCCGCAGACCTCCCTGATCTACTCCCAGCGGCGAACGACAAGTTTTTCTGAATCGGTGTCAGGTGCGAGTTGGGGCGGAAGCGCTTCGGATCTCAGCAGTGAGCACGATGTGCCGGAGCTATCTGTGTGAACACCTTGCGACCGCCTACTGATTACTCAAACCTTGCTCTGGTTGTTGAGGTCTCTTAGATTCGGATAAGCGGTTGAACACTATGTCCTGCCGCGGGATGTGCCACTCGTGCGCACATCAGCTCTGCAAGGCGTGCTTGTAATTCGCTCTCGATGCGCTTTAGTCTCCGAAGCTGCCGACGAGCCCCTGCCAATGTCAACGCCTGTTTGATTAGGGTTTGGGTTTCAGACTCAGTCAAGATGATTGCAGGTCGTGATCTGGCTAGACTTGAGTCCAGTAGCAAAGGAAGAGTTTGGCAAGGACATGGGTCTTGTGTGGGACTAGGCAAATTCCTCAAAACCTTCAGGAATGAGCCCAGAACCCTGGACTGGGACACTGTGAGGCAAAGCTAGCTAGACAGCCCCATGTTGTCGAATATAGCTTCAGTGAACATACGAGAAGAAGGTGAACGTGTTGGCATAGCAAGATGGCTGTGATTAAGAGTGAGCTGGACAGAAGAGAATCATATACCGACATGTAAATGAACATGTCGCTTAGGATATGCCATCTTCAAGTGTGAATATGGCTTAGAAATATGCTGGAATTTCGTGGCAGAGCGGCGGAGTGTTTAGAACATCAGGCGGCAATGTCGCGGACGTTGTGATATCATGGTATTGAGGATACAACAAAAAACTGTAGTAGGAAAGAAGATAGATGGAGAGTGGCATTGGATCTTGTATGGGGTGCTGTATTAGCCGAACCAGGTCACCGGCACGAAGTTTAGATTAGAGAGAGGTAACATGCTGATTCGGAATGACAAGAATAGAAGAACAAGAATGTAATTAAGCAATCCGCGAGTCAGACGAGACATTGATGAGGTAGTGAGGTGCCAGACAGTTATCCTGCTAGTGTCACGAAAACGACAATGAGGCAGCACCTCAGGACTGCCAAAGGACGAGACAACAGTAAATGTACCCGTGTCGCAGTGGAGAATTGGCAGAGGTTCAGACGCTGTGGCCAATGCTCAAAAATGGTGCACGAGCGTAGTTTGATAGTTGAGCTCAGAAACACCATATCAGACCATATCGTCAGTTTTAAGATGGTGCATGACCAGCGGAGGGACCCCAGCACGGTCGATTTCGGCTCTGCTGTGAACTCCCAAACACCAAAAATCCTAGGCAGAGTGATTGAGTTGAAGAGTCTGCAACTCAAATACTCCGACTTCCACTAACAAAGCCGTAATGCCACAATGCAAGGTGCGGCCCGAAGCAATCCGACTGAGCAACCACCGTCACCTACCCCAAATGCCTGCAAGACCACCCGAACCCCCCTAAGCCCTGTAAGAATCCGAGCGAGAGAGTCGAGATACTACTTTGGGGATCAGGGGGCATACGAAGTAGGTTTAGGAGCAAGGTTGCAAGTAGTGATCGGGATGGTCGCAGGGATCAGGCTTGGGCTCCTTATAACTTGAATCCCTGCACCAAGTACCCACTCGGTCCACTGATCCCCACGTTGAGTTTGACCGAAAAAAGCAGCCTTCGAGGCAGCTGAAGAAGCTCATGATGTCAAGAAAGAGGAGAAAGAAGATCGTGATGTGAAGGAGGAGCAGGAAGAAGGCCGATCCCGTTTTGGGGATGATGGGGGTGAGTGATTGGGAATCACGATTCTTCAGTGAGTTCACGTCCTTGGAATGCGTGTAGGCCAAGTAGTAGTCAGGGTCGAGGAAGTGGCTGAGGTCAGGCGGGCAGCGAGAACAGGGTCCTGAAATGAAGACAGCGGGTTCACACAGCCGGTTGCTAGCGCAAGTTTGGTGCAGTCAGGAGAAGTATATTTTGAGCTGCTCAGGCAGAGAGTTCTGTGTTGCTCAATGTTGCTTCAAGCAAGTGATTAGCGCAGCCCTGCAAAAGAGTGTAGCCATGGAGAGCAGGTTAACGTGCAAGGCAATGGTTGTGCTCTGTTGCATCAGCCTCATTGATTGCATCAACTTCACGATGCTCATTCCCTATGTGGATGAACTCGTGGCACATGTGCTTGACCGACCTCGAGGAGATCCCGGCATATCCATTTGGGTCTCTGCTTTGGTGGGATCCTATGCGCTCTGCGAGGTTCTCTTCAGCCCCATGTGGGGGATGCTGGCCGATCGGTTCGGCAGACGTCCAGTCTTGCTTGTTGGGCTTGCTGGATCCGCAGCGGCTTCGCTGTTAATGGGCCTTGCTGACAGCTATCCGGCTGCTCTGGCTGCCCGGCTCTTGGATGGTTTCTTCTGTGGCAATGAGTGCGTTGCGAACACTTACCTGGGCGAGCTGGTGGACAGCGAGAACGAGGCTCGAGCCTTCGGCATCCTGGGTGTTGTCTTCTCATTCGGCCTCTTCCTGGGTCCTGTGCTCGGTGGAGGTTTGGCACGCCCGGCAAGCTGGGAACCGCAGGTTTTTGCGGGAACGCTGTTTGAGCGCCACCCTTTCCTCCTTGCGAACTTGCTCTTTGCCTGCTTGGTGATAGCTGTGTTTCTTCTAGGTGCTGCCGCTCTGAAAGAGACCCGTGTGCATGAGCAAGCTTCAGGCTTGCTGCAAAACGATGAGGCAATAGACTTGCAGAGACGCCAAGCTCTTCTTCCCCGGGGCCGAAGACTTTGGCAGCTCTTGATTGCAAGCAGCCTTCTTTGCGGCTACATCGCGGCTCGGTTAAACAGCTTCATCCTCGTCTCCTCCCTACCGAGGACGTTGCATGGCCTCGGCATATCTTCGCAGGAATTTGCATGTGTTCAGGCCTGTGCTGCCTTCATGTTGGCCCTTAACCAGACGACTTGCTATGGCTGGCTGGTCAGAAAGGTCGGGAATCACGCTGGCTATTTCCTGGGGTTGCTGTGGACGATTGCCATCACCTTGCCCATGCCCTTCTACTGCACGGTTACCGAAACGAATCCGTCCAAGGTGTTGCGTTTGCTTCCCATCACAGGCTGGCAGGCGACGAGCCAGCTTGGATTTGGGATTGCTTTCCCTCTCTGCACCGAGGCAATTTCTTGAACATATTCTGAAAAAAGTAGTCCAAGTAGAGTACACTCCTAAGAAGGACTGCAAGTTATGCCCCCAAGAAACAGCCAAGGTACGGTTCTGGTGAATAAGGAGTGCACAGCTCGAAATCGTGCGGTTGTCAACGGGTGGTGCGGCTCTCTGAATGCCCTGGCACGTGGCTTAGGACCGGAGCTTGCCGGTGCCCTGGTACACCTGGGCTGCTCCCTAGAGACCCCGGATCTTCGTTTCGGACGGTACCTCCCGTTCTATGCCAATCTGGTTCCTGCCACCGTTGCTCGATCGGGTTTGGGAGAGTTTTGATGCCACACAACCAAGCTACTGCCTAGGCATGCTTTCTTCGAAGGCTAAAACCCCCGAACCCTTGGACCTCGCCTGCCATGTCTGCGTGAGCGCCGCAACTCTGCACCCTCAGGCCCTAATCTCCAGGCTTCAAACCAACAACGCGAAGCTCGAAACTCGTAGCGTGTTAGCAACCAGGTCAGTGCTATCCTGGTCCTCCATCAACGACCTCGAAGCCGAGATTCCGATGGAAACACAGCATGTGAACTCGGGACACAACTATAAGAGCTTTCATAGAGCCTTTATAGGAGCTCGAACAGAAGCCTTCAGAAAGAATACAGAGCCATGATAAGAGACCTTTGTAGATCTTTGTAGAACCCTCACAAGTGAACCGGGGACGTGAAGCTCAAAGCTAGCCTTCAGTAGGGTTTGGGGTTTGGGCTTTGGGGTTTCGAGGTTTCGGGGTTTCGGGTTTGAGGGCGTAGTTGGTTTGGTGTTTCGGGTTTGGGGTAGATCCCCACGTGCGTGACTTGATGATGCTTGTGGCAAAAGAGCTATAGCTCTGTGGGCTTTGGCTTCCAGGGCACCCCTCAAAATGCCCAAAGTCGTGCACCCAGTGTGTTGAGGCTGAGGCCCACATGCTCCCAGGCACAAGGAAGTGCATGAGGAAGCAGGAAACATGTGCATCCACGTCAAACGGTCCGTTGAAGTCTTGCATCCATGCGCATGGTTTTTACTTGCAGTCGAGGGGCAAACTCCGCGATCAGAAACCCCTCGGCGCATCCTGGCTGCGGAGGGCTCTATCTGGGTCCTGGGGTCCGTACAATAAGGGACTTACTATTCGGAAAGGCTGGTAGTGTCCCTTATGTCTGGCATTCCCACCTCTGTTCGATATTTGCCTTGGGTTGACCGGGCTATTGCTTCGCTGCGTGACCTTACATCCTGAATAGTCAGAGCCGAAACCCTCAGCCATCAACGGCGACTGGTTCTTTCACTAGAGTCAGCTCGGCATCAGCGCTCCGTGAAAACGACCCCCACATTCCCAACACACCGGACATGCCAGAAATTCAGCCAAAGGCACATGTTGTCGTACCGGTGCATTATGGCGCAAACAATGACCAACAACGCACGCAGCCCCAAGCTAGATATGCAGAAGCGCTAGATCGGCTGGAGACAGTTGAGAGATTCGGAGATTATGCTTGCGCTTCCCGCATGCAGCCTGGCAGCGTTCACGGCTCGAAGCTGCATGCATTGTCAGTTGTGTTGACAGTCTGAAGCGACTTGGCTGTCCTTGCCTGTCAATCTCGGACACGTCGAACCTGGTTTCCGTATTCACGATCGAACAACCTGGAGCTAGGTACTGACTACAGTTGACCACCATGGTCTTGCTGAACTGGTTTTTCTTCCAAATGGATCTGAATTAACTGCTAGACGGTCTAGGTCCTAGACAGGCAGATGCTCAATGATACCGAGCTGCGCTAAAACAAGAACTCATGAACGTCCCAAGCATAGCCGATCCAGTGTAAGAGGCAAGAGGTCGGGGCCCTGCGATCATGGCTCCGGCGCAGAAGAGGCTCACATGCAAAGCCATGGCGGTGCTGTGCTCCATCAGCCTGATTGACTGCATCAATGCTACCATGCTAAACCCCTACGTGGACGAGTTTGTGGCCCATCTCCTTAACAAGCGGCGTGGTGACCCTGGTATATCGATTTGGGTCTCTGTCATGGTGGGTTCCTACTCTTTGTGTGAGGTACTCTTCAGCCCCATGTGGGGCATGCTGGCTGAGCGGTTTGGCCGTCGGCCCATACTGCTGTTGGGCTTAGCTGGCTCCGCTGTGGCTCCTGTTCTTTTTGGTCTTGCGAACAGCTACCCCGCAGCGCTGGCTGCTCGACTTATTGACGGTTTCTTCTGCGGCAACGCATGCGTCGCACGGACATATCTTGGAGAATTGGTGGATGCCGAGAACGAAGCCCGGGCTTTTGGGCTCCTAGGCGTCGTGTTTTCACTGGGACTCTTCGTGGGTCCCATCCTGGGTGGAACCTTGGCGCATCCGGCAGACTGGGCCCCAGGTTGGTTCGATTCGACGATCTTTGAAGGCCATCCCTTCTTCCTTTCAAACCTGATTTTTGCTTGCTTGGTGGCCTGCATCTTCCTGCTGGGTGTGGTGGCATTGACAGAGACCCGGGGACCCAGGGAGCGCGAAGAGTCCTTCCTTGCATCTGCCGCCGAAGCCAGCCAGGCAAGGGAGCCGAATTCAGTAGGAAGCCGTCGGCTGTGGCATCTGCTGACTCTCAGCAGCATCCTCTACGGCTACGTCGCTGCCCGCTTGAACTCCTTCGTCCTCGTGTCGTCCTTGCCTCGGTGACTTGGTGGTCCTGAAGAGGTGTGCACAGTTTCGATGTTTGTCAGTAGTGTGAGATCATGTGAAGCTTTCTGGAAGCAGTGGGATGTGAAGAGCAGCCGAGGACTATGCATGGCCTCGATGTTTCCCCTCATCAGTTTGCGTATATTCAGACATTCGCTGCGCTCATGTTGGCGTTGAACCAGGCCTTCATTTTGAATCGTCGCTCATTCGCGCTGAATGCATACATCCAGCTCGTAGACCCCAATACCGAGATCCTAACATGTTGAGCCCTGAGCTAGGTGCCCGCACAACCCAAAGCCAGAGCGAGAAACCCTGAAAGGTGACCCAACCTGGACCTAAACCTTAAACCTGCGAGCGAAACCCTGAAGAGGTTACAATTTATCCCTGCCTGGTGAAGAGATGCGGGGCTCACACCAGCTGCGCCATTGGTCTGCTTTGGACGATCGTCCTCACGTTGCCAGTTCCTCTCCTTTTCATGAAGCTGGGCCTTTGTTGTTGGTAAAGAGCTCATCGTCCCAATAGAAATCTGCCACAGCATATGCCATATGCCCCAAGAGCTATTCCAACTATGAAGGTGTCCATGTTTTCTGGTAGGCATGTAGGTTCAATGTAGGGAGTATATATTATGTGCTACACATCCCCGCGGCCCGGTTGCAGCACAAGGATTCTGTAGGATTAGCACTACTTGTCACTTAGATTGATGTTAGCTTCCGGTATATCGTTCATGCTCGAAGGCTTGTCCTAAAGCTTGTCAAACCGCCTGTTATAAGAGCTCAGCCGTCTCTTGCGCTGGTTTAAGATTGCCTTTAGGGTTACGGCTTCGGGCTTAGGGCACCTGTCAAGGTCTGTCGCCGGCCTGAAAACGTGTCGCATCTCCCGGTCCAAAAACTTTGTTATGGTTCTTTGTCATTGCCGGGTTTAGGGTTCAAGTTTAGAGTTCGCGGGATTGTTGAATTGCAACCTTCTTCGCAGAGCAAGTTGGTAGTTCTCTAATTAGGGCTCCCTATGACACGGAACAGAGACGGGACCCTCATGCTGGCAATCACACAGTCGCAGCTAGGACAGCCGATGTTGAACAAGCTGTCGCTTGGCGTTTGGTGCCTATCACTATCTGGCAGGGCCTGAACCAGCTTGGCTTTGGCACGGCCTTTCCGCTGATTGCCGTACTGCTGTAGCCTGGCCGCTTTTGCATTTTTTTCTTAAACTCTTGCGTGCTATGTTTGTCGCGGATGGTAAAATCAAGTTCCAAGAACTGTCAAGGAACAAGGAGTGCACAAGGCGCAATCGTTCTGTGGTCAATGGCTGGAGCAACTCATTGAATGCCCTGTCGCGTGGCTTGGGGCCCGTGTTGGCTGGTGCCTTGATGCACCTGGGCTGCTCACTGGAGACCGGACCAATCTTGGACAAAAGCTTTTGTTGATCGTGGAGACCCAAAACGTTAAGCCTAAATTCCCGAACCCGAAATCCTAGCTAAGTCACAAGCCAGCCCGAAGTGTTTAACTTAAATCTCTGGATTGTCGGCAAAGGAGTCAGGGGAGCTTCGTCTTGGACGATACCTTGCATTCTACGTCAACCTCCTGCCCGCATCCGTCTCTCACCTTCGATGTGGGCTTTTGCTTAGAAACAGTCGAGTTGAAGGTTCATTTAGGTTTCGGCCTTAGGGCAAACTTTAGCCCGGACCCCCCGCAGGGTACACTGGCGACAGTCATGCCATGGCCATAGTCCGTAGTGAAAGAATGCCGGCGAGGCGGCAGGAGCGGGACGAGACAGAGTATCGGCAACGGGTGACGGTGGTGGTGATGGTATTGGTATTCGCTGGCCGCAGTTCCTGTAGCTACTGCATGTTTTGTCTGCCCATATGTCACCACTTCTGCTGATGTTGTTCTTAATATTGAGATACGATCACAGCTCTCGATGACGATGCTGGTGACGATGGCGATGTCTCTGCAAGGATGAGCACCATGAAGACATTGAGATGAAACTGAAGTTCGTTTTTGTAAAGCAAGGTGATCGTGACAAGGGCGATGGAGTTGTGATGATGATGCCCATGGTAAGGGCTCGGCAGATGATTTAGATGATGTTCATGCCGGTGCCTATGCGGAGAGGCTGGTGATGCCTTCCATTGCTGCTGACGATGATGCGTGGCGTGGGCTAGCATGACGAGAACGCACGTCCGAGGTTGGCACCTACTTGGTGTTCCGCCAGCGACCGGCGGCTTCGTTGCAAACGGTTTCCGACACCTCCGCACCGGCGCAGGGGGGAGCTGCAGGCAGTGAGTCTGCATGTGAACTCCGAGATCAGCAGTAACCGGATATTGTCAGTTAAGATGCTTCTGCAAAGTGACTGTTTGGTGTGTTTCTGTGCTGCCGTTCCAGACGATGCTTACTACTCGTTCTCTTGCACCCGCGCAACCTCTGTTCGAAGAACGGGGTCCTTTCGCTGTTCCTGGCGACCCTCTTGGAACAGACCCCTCGTTTCCTTTTAATGCGCGCACTGTTTTTACAGACGGAGTGCTTTCGCTGTGCCTAGCGACACTGCCTGGAACGGATAGCTGGTTTCCGCTGTGAAATCCCACCGGTGGAGCCTGAACCCGCAATCCCGAAATCCCCAGAAGGAGGCCACCTTCGAGTACCTTAAAAGAGCTTCAGCCTCAGCCTGGGCCCTGCTCGGAAAAGGTGACAGAGCTGTGATGCAGACACACACAGATATCTATAGATATATATATATATATATCTATAGATCTATAGATCTACAGTCTATATCTATATCTGTCTATCTATATATATATATATATTTATATGGTCACCTCCCCATGATCCACCGGTCTCCTTTTTTGATATATATATATACACATGTATGTATGTATGTATGTATGTATGTATGTGTATATATATATATATGCATGCATTAGCATGAAGA